TTGTACAAAAGGACAAGAAGAACATGCCTATCCTAACTATAGGCGAGCTATTCTCTATATACATTAGTAAGTCAGGCCTTTATTAGGCCTAACTCAGCATGGAACAATAGGTAGGCAATTCTGCCTCATTGTTACATTATTTAGACAACTTCTGCATCACCTATCTAGATAATATCCTTATCTACTCTAAAGACCTTGCTACTTATAAGGACTATGTTTAAAAAGTCCTTAAGCGTCTTTGTTCTGCTAGATTATAGGCTAATGTTAAGAAAAGCAAATTCTATACAACCTATACCTATTACCTTAGATATATCCTTACTAATAAAGGCTTAGAGGTAGATCCTAACAAAGTTAAAGTACTCTAAAACTAGTCTACTCCTAAGACAATAACTAGAGTAAAGTCCTTCCTAGGATTTACTAGATTCTACTAGCAATTTGTGGAAAATTTCTCTAAGATAGCTAAGCCCTTAACCACTCTCTAGAGCCCTGCTACCCTATTTGTATAGACTTTAGAATGCCAACGAGCCTTTAACTAGCTTAGGAATGCGCTACTAGCAATCCTAAGCTTAGCTTACTTCTATCCTAAGTACCCTCTAAAACTAGAGACAGACGCCTCTAATAGAGTTATTACAGCTATCCTCTTATAGGAGCATCTTAATAGGAAATAGTACCCTATATCCTTCTTTAGTTAGACCCTTACTAGTTCTAAACTTAACTAGGAAATCTATAACAAAGAATTATTTATAATAATCTACGCCTTTAAGAAATAGCGTGCTAACTAAATAAGTACTTAGCACCTTATTAGAGTATACACAGACTATAGAGCACTAGAGTACTTTATATCTACTAAAGTCCTTAGTGCTAGGCAAGCTAGATAGCTAGAGGTTATAAGTCCCTTTAACTTCTAAATTAAGTATACTCCTAGATCTCACAACGCCTAAGCTAATATCCTAAGTAGAAGGGAATAGGATATAATTAACCTTAAGACAACTTAAAGGGATAATTGCTTATAAGTAATAATTGCCCTAGATAGGTTATACCCCTAAATTAACTCTAACTTAGCGCAAGAATACCTAGCTAAGCGTTCCTTACTAATCCTTACTTTAATTATAGTAGTTTAGAACCCTATAACTCTTAGATCCCTAGAACTTATTAAAACTCTTCTTTAAGAAAATAGGTCCTTATTCCTAATAGAAAGATTAGAGTTGCCTAAGCACTATTAGATAGAAAATAGACTCTTTCTCTACTAGGATTAACTTTGCGTGCCTGCTAGATTAGTCCTATATACTAGACTAATTCGTAAGGCTTATAATTAAGTATCTACTACCTACCTATTAGCTACTAAAACCTATTAGATTCTAGCCTAATATTACTACTAGAAAGGTATAGAGACTACCTATAAACGCTATATTTAGAACTATATCCTATACAGGAGAGGGCACCTAAGATAGCACTAACTCCTAGGCATGCTCTACCCCCTTCCTATCCCTAGTCTTCTAATGCAACACCTGTGCATTAATTTTAAGGATTTTCCCTAGGATTAACATAGTTATAACTAGATTATAGTTATTATTAATCGCCTATTAAAGCAAGCTATTACTATCCCTTGCTACAAAACTATAGACGCCTAAGGTATAGCTACCTTATTTGTGTAGTAGGTATACTAATTTAGATATACTCTAGATACTATTATTTCTAATTAAGGCCCTTAGTTTATATCTAGTTTCTAGTCTAAGTTCTATTAGATTATAGGTACTTAAGTTAAGCTCTCTACTACCTACTACAAATAAACTAATAGACAAACTAAGATTATAAACAAGTATATTAATTAGAGACTAAGGCCTTTTGTATCCTATTACTAAGATAACTAGAGTAACCTACTACCTATAATAGACTGTGCCTAAAGTACTCTTCTATATTTATCTATTAGCATAGCTCTATATTAGCTCCTCTTTAGTTCCTTACTAAAGTAAAGTTAGTATTAGAAACTAGAAAAGACCCTATCTACTATACTAGAGAAACTAAACCACAAGGACGCCTTATCCCTTGCTAATTAGATATATAACGCCTAGAAGATTGCTAAAGAAAATATAGAAAGAGCTTAAGACTAAATACGCTCTACTACTAATTACTATTACTATCTAGTTAACTAGAAGGTTAGTAACTATATTTATCTATCTACTACTAATCTTGCTATTTTATAACCTAGCTAAAAACTATCTAAATAATAGGAAGGTCCCTTTAAGGTATTAGAATAAGTAGGAAACGCGTATCGCCTCTAATTGCTACCTAGTTCTAAGATCTATAACGTTTTCTCTCCTAATATACTATACAAAGATCCCTAAGACTTATTACCTAGACAAGAGGCTCTAAAACCCCCTAGTACGCCTATATAAGGTGTAGAGGAATAGGAGGTAGAAGAAATCCTAGCTAGTAAATTATATTAATCTAAGCTAAAATATAAGGTTAAGTAGGTTAGATATAATCCTAATCCTGTTTAGTATCCTACCTCTAACTTTATAGGTGCTCCCTATAAATTATAGGCATTCTACTAATAGTATCTAAATTAGCTAGGTCCCCCACGTAGCTTACTAAAATAGATTTAATCCTAGGAAAAGGGTAAGGAGGATCTAATATTACTTCACGATAATTATGCCTAATATTAGAACTAATTTATATCCTATTTAGCTACGTATTATCTATTAACTACTATCTATTACTATTATTCTTGTTGCTATTTATTATAATATCCTATTTAGAACTGTCCTAGAACTGTTAAGGTACCTAGGACACTACCCCTAGGAAACCTCTTTATTCTATATCTATCTCTCTATTAGAACCTAGTTTAGACTCTGTATTAGCTAAGATAGCACCTAGACCACCCTTCTTAGCTAGCTTCTAGATAACTAGTGCAACAGGTGCAACAGGTGCAGGAGCAGGTACAGGAGTAGGTGTAGGAGCTAGGACTCATTTAGACGCCTTCTTATTAAGCACCTTTATCTTAGCCTACACTAAGAAGGTTGCCTCCTAATTTAGTGCTATTTCCTCTTTAAGTTTGTTAATAGCCCTTATTAAGCCTCTAACTACTAAGACTATCTTATAAATACTGTTCTAAAGCTAACGTAAATTAGAGGTAGTAGTATAATATATAGCTATAAGGATCTTAGCAGCTTCTATACCCTTAGTCTAAGTATTAGTAATAGTAACGCACTTAGCAAGGTTTTAGGTAGCTTCTTAAATAGTAGCCTTAAACTATTTAATATCCTTCTAATAAGTAACTATAGTATCCTTATCCTTATCCCCTTTAGTAGGGTTTGCTACTAGGCTGTAGTACTTATCTAGAGCACCCCTAAGAGTAGAGTACTCTTAGCTAATAAAAGAAGGAATCTGCTAGGATTAGTAAAGGAACCCTATTAGACTTAGATACTTACTAGATTGTAATACTTATTCTAGGAGATATAGTACTAGCACTTCTTAGAATTCTTTAACTTAAAATTAAAATTATTAAACTTGCCCCTAGCTGGAGCCCTAACTACCCTTATATAGAGAGCGCGATAAGTAATAGGGAGGACTTCTAGTAGGACTAGTACTAGCATAGCTAAAGGTTCTAATTTAGATTAGCAACTGCTTAATTATATAGATTAAATACTTACTAGATTTTAGATAGATTAGGTTAAATAATTAAAAAATTAGGGATATAGGAATAAGAAGGTTAGTAGGTAGAGGGCTAGTTATAGGCAGGCAGAGGATAGGGGTCTGTGCCCTAGGAATAAGAAGTAAAGGTAAAGGTAGAGGTAAAGGTAGAATTATTTTGTAAGAGCTTTTCTTTAAGAAGGGATCTAAACCTAATCCTAAAGATAGGGACTATCCTTTTTCTATAGGAGGGGGTAGTGTAATAAAAAGGTAGAATTGCCTGCCTATTATTCTATGCTAAGTTAGGCCTAATAAAGGCCTGACTTACTAATATATATAGAGAATAGCTCACCTATAGTTAGGATAGGTATCCTCTTCTTGTCCTTTCGTACAAGACCTATAGGTGTAGGAATCTTATCCTTTTCTGTACAGACGCGCACTGCTATATGCCTTTAAGTTATATAGGATACCTTTTAGATCCCCTACCTACCTAAGTCGTTACACCTAGGGGGTGTGTTATAGGAGGGATAATAACTAGATTACAGAGCATCTTAATCTTATTAATCCTTAATTAATACTAATTAATCCTGATTAAAACCCCTATATAACCCACTATCTAATTAACTGCTAGCTTACTACTAAGTGCCTAACAAAAGCAGGAGCTCTAGTAAGGAAGGTTTACTAATTATACACCTTCTAGTAAGGGTAGCTAAAGCTCTATATATATAAGTCCGATTGTAGTAGAGACAATCTAATAGTCCATCTCCCAAATCATTCCTAACCTTAGTAATCTAGATTTCCATAAGGAGTAAGATAAGTTAATTAGGTTAAAATACTCTACAATCTAGTTAATATCCATCCTATAATAAATGGGTAAAGTAAATTAGCAATTCATCCTTATTTATATAGATACGCGCTCTTATATACCTATGTAATATATTACATCCTATCTAGATAATTTTATCTATCTACACTATTACAATTTAGAGTTATACTACTAATTAATTCTTGTAAAGGTCTATAAGGTAGTTTAACTTTTCTTAAGAGTATAGCCTTTTTTATAGTTAAATCTAAAGATAAGTTACATTTTTATCTACTATATATCGTAAAGCGTTTATTATATGTAAGCTAATAGCTGCTTAATATAAAAGAAATAGGGGGGGGCAATAGAGTGTTAATTATTAGCTTCTAATAAAGGCTATTTAAGTCTCCTATATATATATATTGTTTTCTTCCCTAAGCCTCGTTTAGCTATAGTTTCCCTACAGGATCGACCATATTATCCTAGTCTAGGAGGATAGGAACTATCTATAGGCAAGGACCGCCAAGAGGCTAAGCCTAGTCACACGTGACCTAGGCATTCATGGTCAAGTCCACGTTGAGTAGCTAGCCCACTGCGGTAATTTCCAGTAGCATACATGCGTCTGTGGACGTCTCTCCGGAATCAGGCTCTCACAAACACATTGACTATTCCCATTTAAATCGCCTCCAGCATCTGGTCCATAGGCCAATACTCTGCACTTCCCTGTTTTCGGGAAGTACAAACTCTTGAATTGCACTCGACTAGTTAGGTCAAGATAAATATCAACACGGGCTATGCAGCGCCAGTTTTCCCACCCGAGCAGATTGTCTCCGCATGTGGTTGGACCGTTGGAGTTGTGGCAAGTCGACAAGTAATTTTGGATTTTGAACAGACGGACACCTGTGTTTTGTGCAAGATTGTCGATGCAGGTCTTTAGAGAAGCGCCCTCAAGTGGAGTGATTGCGAGTACCCTTTTTTGATATTTGCATAGTGATGATAGTGGAAAGAGTAGCAAAAGCGCCGCGTAAAGACCTTGTTTAAGTTGCATGGTCAATCTGACTTGAATCTGGACTAGAGGTATCAGGGAAGTATAAGAATGGAGTATGTCTGAGTTGCAAGATTTTTCGAGGGAAGAAAATGCCATATTTATAGTGCGATGGGAAGATGACAGAAATGTGCAAATGGAAGTGACTGTACATTCATATTTCCTCTTACTTTTAGGTTTCGGTGGTAAGCCTTTTCCTTCTCGCTGGTAAGCATGCATGTGTGCATAGTAGAGGGGAAGTACAAATTGTGCTCGCCACAAGATACTAATCATCCTCGCCCTTACTAGGGCACCATGTGCAAGTGTTATTCAACGGGAAACGTTATTTGTCCGGGTCGCAATAAGAAAAGTGTCCTAGTTGTAAGCCCTACCTTACCTAAATTAGTTAACATCCTGCAGCTAGTAAATTAGTACTGCAGGGGATGCCACTAGATAGCCCGCGATACGTATTAATAGTATTAGTGTATAGTATTAGTAGATATTAGGTTATCTATATCTAGTTAAGTAGTGTTGTGTGGTTTGCACCTATAGTAACTAGGTAATAGCTATAACCTAATATCCTATATTAACTACAATTTATCAAAACACACTATATACTAATACTATTAATACTAGTTATAGGCTATTAAGCGGCATGCTATAATAACGCAGGTAGGTAGGGCATCTAAAAGGTATCCTATACGACTTAAAGGCATAAGAGGGTACGCGTCTATACAGAGAAGAATAAGATTCCTACACCTATAGGTCTTGTACAAAAGGATAAGAAGAATATACCTATCCTAATATAGGCGAGCTACTCTCTATATACATCTACAAGTTAGGCTATTATTAGGGTTAACTTAGTATATAATAATAGGCAAATAATTCTACCCTATTATTGCACATCCCCTATAGTAGTAATTTACTAGCTAAAGGATGTTAACTAATTTAGGTAAGGTAGGGCTTATAACTAGCAAACCTTTCTTAATATAACGTAGATAAATAATACGTACCTTGTTTAATATAGTTATAATAAGCTATATAACGTCGTTACAAGCCTTACCTTACTTAAATTTGTTAATATCCTACAAGTAGCAGATTAGTACTACTAGGGATATTACTAGTTATCCTAGGTCTAGTAGTACTAGTATTAGCATATTATATTACTTAAGTAAGAAAAAGGTAACTAGTAGTACTATTTGGAATAGAAAAAGTTATTAGCTATAATTTAATATTAGCTATGTATAGATATCCTTTACCTCTTATAGAAAAATCAATTACCTAGCGTAATAGAATAGCTAGCTTAGTTATAAGCTACTATAGTATTAAATCTTAAGTAAACTGCTAGTAACTATATATACATTTGGTAAAGGAGGTAGTAGCTAAACAAAGCGTAGCTAGGTAGGTAGCTATCATAATAGTAGTAGAAAGTATAGGTTTTCTAGTTATTATAAAATAGTAGTTTAACTACTTATAAGCTAATTTAGGTATCTATAATTAGTAGTATAACTAGTATATGAAGTATATACTAGTAAAGGGTAGTATTAGGGTTAGTAATTATACTATTATATAATAGTAAGTAGTATAAATAGTAGTTAAGATATAAACGCCTAGTAAAAATAAGGACAAGCTAGATAATTAGCTAGTAGGTTATATATTAATACTAGGTAAACTAGAAGGTTAGAACTTAGCGCTATGTAAGTTAGTTAATACTATAGTAAAGGTATAGATTATAAGTAAGATTATGGCCAGAGTTAGAGTAGGTTAAGGACTATTAATACCTAATTAGTAGGCTATTACTTTATATAGGTAGGTAATATAATTAGTCGTAAATCTAGGTTATTATTATTTAAGCTACTTAGCTAAAGTAAGCTTATATTTTATACTGTACTAGCTAGCGCCTCTATAGTAAAATGATTTTACGTGTTACTTAATAGGTATAGTATTTAGCTTATAAAACGTAGTAGTAAAGATAATATTAGGGGCCTATTAATAGTTAACCTACTAATAGTATTAGTAATTACAAAGTTATAGTACTATAAAGTTAAGCTTAAGCTCTATAAGCTTATAGTAATATCGTAGTCTAGGTAAGGTAGTATATTACTATCTATAGGAAGTAAAGTAATAGGTAGTTATAACGGGCTTAGGCTATGCTTTAGCCTAGTTCTAATAAAGGATAGGTAGAGACTAACACTAATCCTAAGCTAACACGCCATATACCTATAAAAAGACGTAGAGAGCTTACCTTACCTTTAAGCTACCAAATGCCATTATTATTACTTATTATATTCTCTCTACTAATATAGTATATTTAGAAGAATATACTAAAATATTATAGACTAGCCTTAAGAGAGAATATGAGAATGGTTAATAATAGTATTTAGTATCTTAAAGAAGAGCTAAGCCCTCTACACCTTTTTATAGGTGTGTAGCGTATTCGCTTAGAAGTAGTATTAGTCTCTACCTATCTTGTATTAGACCTAGGCTTAGGGATAATCCTAAGCCATTTACCATAATAGATACCTATAATAAAACCTATAATAAATACCTACATTAAATACCAATAGTAATACGTATAATATAAATAGTATATATAGAGTAGATAAGAACCTAGTGCTAACCTAAGCCTATAGCCTATATGATCTAACTTTAACTCTAATATACTTTTATAAGACCTGTAATAATAGGGCAGAATTCTTCGCCTATAGTTACATACTAAGTTAACTCTAACTTTGGCCTAACTCTTATAGATATATATAGAGAGTAGCTTGGCTATATTAGGTTAGGCATGTTCTTCTTGTCCTTTTGTACAAGACCTATAGGTGAAGGAATCTTATCCTTTTCTATATAGACGCGCACCCTTATATACCTTTAAGTTATATTAGATCCCTATTAGATACCCTACCTACTTATATTATTTATATTACAAGAAGAAGAATACTTTAGCTAGTAATAGTATCTAAGAATATTATATTTATTAATGTTTTTTCTTGCTACTAATTTATTTGTAGTAGTAGGCTAACCCTATAACGATATAGTTAGAATAGCTATTAGAACTTCTAATAACTAAAGCCTACAGGCGTAGACTTCTAGACTACTAGGTAGTACTAGATTACCTTCAGAAAAATCGCGTTAGATTGCATTAAGGTCAAGACTTAGAGACTACTAATAGCTAGAGGAATTAGAAGTAAAGCTAATATTATTTTATAAATAACCCCTCTAAAGAAAAGATTGATTATTCCTTATTAACTACTAAAATAATAAATAAAGGAAAAGTAAATGTATCTAGCTCTACTACCTTTAAGAGCCTATTTACGAATAGGAAGATAATAGATAAGAAGGCCTTAATTAATAACGCGCTTCTAGAAGGTTCTACTTTCTATCTATCCCTTAAGACCCTATATACTCCCTAAAAAATTTAAAGTAGTACCTCTATTAAAGATAAATATACATTAATACTGTCTAAAAAGAAGACGTTAGTATTAGATATTACTAAAAATAAGAATGTATGTTATATATCATCTTATAAAGAGAAGTAGCACTAATAGGGAAAACTACTCTATAAGAAAGCTTACTAGATAAGTAATGCTACGAGATAGGAGAACCCTACTAGATAGGTAAGCTTACTAGATAGGAGAATCCTACTAGATAGGAGAACCCTACTAGATAGGTAAGCTTACTAAATGCGTAATCGTACTAGATGGCAGAACCCTACTAGAGAGGTAAGCTTACTAGATACGTAATCTTACTAGATAGGGGAACCCTACTAGATAGGTAAGCTTACTAGATACGTAATCTTACTAGATAGGGGAACCCTACTAGATAGGTAAGCTTACTAGTTAAGTATCTTACTTTTAGGGAAACGTTATTCGTCTAGGTCGCAATAAGAAAAGTGTCCTAGTCATAAGCCTTACCTTACCTGAATCAGTTAACATCCTGCAGCTAGTAAATTAGTACTGCAGGGGATGCCGCTGGATGGTCCGCGACCAGTATTAATATTATTAGTGTATAGTATTAGTAGTATTACTATAGTAAAGGAAAAGGATTAACTTACTGTAACTTAGTATATTAGCAATACTACTAGTATAGGGCTCTATAATAACTTTATATAAAGCCTTAGAGGATACCTAATAGTTATCTAAGTTAGTTAGTAATATAGATTAAGTAAGCAATATTTTAGCAAGATAAAACATAGAATAATTAGTTGTGTTTTAATAGATTTTAGTTAATACAGGATATTAGGTTATAGCTATTGCCTAGTTACCGTAGTAAAACACTCTGTAACACCACGTAACTAGGTATAGATAAACTAATATCCAATAATACCATACACCGATACTATTAATACCAGTCGCGGGCCATCTAGCGGCATCCCCTGCAGTACTAATTTACTAGCTGCAGGATGTTAACTGATTCGGGTAAGGTAAGGCTTATGTCCAGGACACTTTTCTTATTGCGACCTGGACGAATAACACTTGCCTTAATTTTACCTCTTGTAACAAGGCTAGGCTAATAATAGCTAGCGCTTACTAGATGCCTAGGCTAGACTTAAACAAGGCTTATAGGTTAGCACTAGGGTCTAGCGCTATTATCTATTAAGATATATATATTATTCTATGCGAGAAATACTTAGCTTAAGTATTCTTGTGCGTACTTTTTGGGCCATATCTAAATTGGTATAGATAGGTGTAATAACGTAGTGTTTATTACGTTAGCGTAGCGCCTACCCTATTAGACCTCTACCTTTACCTTTACTATTTATTATAGAGGGTATAGACCCTAATCTATAAGTAGTCTATATTAATCCTACTCCCTGTAAACTATCTATTTCCTTTATCCCTAATACTTTAAATTTTAACCTATCCTATCTAAAACTTAGTAAGCTTTTAATCTATATAATTAAATACGTTACTAATCTAAATTAGATGTTTAAGCTATACTAGTACTAGTACTACTAGAAGTCCTACTAGTTGCTTATTGTGTGGTATACATGCAAGTAGTTAGCGCTATTACTTAGGGCTAATTTAATAATTTTAATTCTAAATCTAAGAATTCTAAGAAATAGTAATAGTATATTTCTTAGAATAAGCTTTGCAAACCTCTTTATATGTAATTTCTAGAAGGGTCCCTAGCTAACTATAATAGATAGCTTTATTTACTAGTTCTAAGTATTTAGAGCTTTATAACACTTTAGACTATTTGTATAGCTTAATAGGAAACGTGCCTAAAAATTATACAAATAGCTTAA